CTCAAGAACAGATTTGATGGATTAGACACAAATGATAGAAACCCAGAGAGTTGTCAGATGACATCAAGAACATCATACAGGAAGAAAGCAAAGTGTCATTTAGAAGACAAGAAAGAAAGAAAGAAAAGAAAAAAGTGGATGACAGAAGAGACTCTGGAATTTGATCTCCAATGTAAGCTATCACATAATTCACAATAAAACATTAAAAAAAAAAAAAAAAAACAGAATACAAAAAAAAAGGGGGAATTAGTTTAATCTTACATTCCAGATCAGAGGACCCTAGGGCCATCAAGAGGGACAAGCATGAGCAGAACATGGGACCCTAACCAGAGAAGCAGCAATACCAGAGATGGAGGCAGAGGTGATGGCATGGAGAGAGAGAGAGCAGCTGAGGACTCTAGACTCATGCAATGAGAAAAGCTGTGTGTTGGCAGGCAGGAGACTGGCTTGAAAATGTGCCCTTTGGTTGTTTAAATGATTATATATTCCTGCGTGTTTTTGTACATAAAAAAGGAATGGAGGCAAATACTGTTACCTGACGGTGCATGCAGGGGATTGTAATCATTGCAGGGAAACAAAATACAATTGTTTGAGTGTAAAACTGATGTTCTCCCATGGTAACTATCACTCAATTCACAATAAAAACTTAAAAAAAAAAAAAGAACATGGCATCAGAATTGGAGGAAGACTCATTAATAACCTCTGGTATGTAGATGATACAACTTTGCTTGCTGAAATTGAAAAGAACTTGAAATACTTGCTGATGACAATTAAAGGCAACAGCCTTCAGTATGGATTGCACCTCAATGTAACGAAAACAAGAATCCTCACAACTAGACCAATAAATAACATTAGGGTGGTAGTGATGGCCATGTGCCATGGAGTCAGTTCCAACTCATAGTGACTCTGTACAGGGTTTCCAGGACTGTAAATCTTTATAGGAGCAGAAATTATCATCTTTCTCCCACAGAACAGCTCATAGTTTCAAACTGCTGACCTTGAGGTTAGCAGTCCAATTCATAACCACTACGCTACCAGAGCTCTTTAACATCATGGTGAATGGAGAAAAGATTGAAGTTATCAAGTATTTCATTTTACTTGGATCCACAATCAACACTCATGGAAATAACTGTCAAGAGATCAATGTGTATTACATTAGGCCCATCTGCTGCACAAAAAGCCTCTTTAAAGTGTTCAAGAGCATTGATGCCGTTTTTAGGACTAAGGTGTGCCTAACCCAAGCCTCGTATGCGTGCTCAACAGTGAATAAGGAAGACCTTAGAATAATCAATATATTTTAATTATGGTGTTAGGGAAGAATATTTAAAGTTCCATGTTTTTTCCTCTTTTCTTTATTCTTGGAAAAATGCCCTAAAATTGTATTTAAGTTCTATGAGGGAACTGTGTCCAGTTCACTATTTTCTCATAGGAGTTGGCATAATTTCTTGGACCCTAAAATGAAGTATATAAATATTAGTTGAATAAAAGGATTAATTTCTTCACAGTCTTATTTGTAATTCAAAGGAAATTTTATTTCAGCTGTCTGAACAGTGCTTCTTATCCTTTAGTAGGATTTCTCATTGATCTTAGGAGTATTTCAGTAGTTTAGTTTCCTGATATCAGAACATTGCTCTCATTATTCCCATAAAAGGTTAGAGTGAATATTTTAGGTCTTAGTGCTCCATAAGGAGTCCTGGTGTGGCACTGTAGGATAAGTGCTCAGCCACAGATTCAGTTTAAACCCCAAGGTCGGTGGTTCAAACTCACCAGTACTCCTTGGAAACACACTATACAAGGTTGCTCTGAGTCAGAACTGACTCAACGGCACTTAACAACAATGCTTAAAAATGGCTGAAGCTAAATACAGACTATTTTTTAACTATCATAAACGTCTTTGAAGCATTTGTACTCTGCTATGATGTGGTAAGAACCAGCTTTAGTCTTGATCTCATGGAATTGTTTTCTAGTTTGCCTACTTATCGGTGTTGATATAAACCTTCTTTGTTTACTTTTGACCTATTGACTAGTGAGCACATCTTGGATGTTTGTAAATAACGAACTACTATTTTATGTTTCCATTGCTCCTATTTACCTTATCATATAGTAGTAAAATGTAGAAGATGTCTATTTTTATATACTATTTAGTGTGCTTTATTGTATTCCTTAATCAACAGGATACAAATAGTTGGATTTTTGGATGCATAAACAGTACTTCTATGTGGTAAGTCTTTTTTAACCTTGGGCTCGTCACTTAATTTTTCTCAACATAAACTATTGAAAACTCACACTTTTAGAATAGCTTCATACATTCTTATGTTCATTTTGTTGATAAATTAAAGTATTGATTTTTAAATTAAAAAAATAAGTAAACTTAATGCAAATATTAAAACTAGTTTGTTGTGGGGGAAAGCAAATTTTTGTTGTTATTTTTAACATAACAGATTATGTATAAAATTATATAGTATAGTCCCATTGTATAGTGGGAGTCCTGGTGTGGTGTTGTAGGATAAGCACTGAAATGTTAACCACAAAGTCAGCAGTTCAAACCCACCAGCCACTCCTTGGAAGCACTGTACACAATCACTATGTGTTGGACCCAACTTGATGGCACGTAATTACAGCAATAGCAACTATATAATGGAACTAGGTAAACAGCATATATTGCATTAAACTTTAAATTCAGTTTAACCGATAGGTCTATAGTTGATTTCTTCTTCCTGTGAAGCTTATTTATAATACGTAATATTTTAATATATCTGTCCTTTCATTATCTTTTTTTTTTAAGGAATTGAATTCTTTATTTGCGATATCCATTAAACATTGTTATTCTATATTTCTGTCAGGAAGGCAGTTTTCTCCTGTTATCTGTTTTGTTTTGTTTTATAAACAACAACTTGAATTCTCTTGTATGAAAGGGCTACAAATATACATTTGTTAACCAACCATAGTACAGATATTTTGCTTTACAATTTGCACCTAAGATCTTTCATATCTTTTCATATTTTTCAAAGCCAACAAGGAGTTGATTTATCATGGAAAGCTGAACTGCTGCCAACAATAAAGGTAAATTATGACTTTAAGCCTTAATATCCAGGTGAAAGATATTTGACCATATACAGGCATTTCAGAGTATACTTTTATTAATTCATGTAGACATGAAATAAATCTGAGATTTGCTAACCTACATTTTAGAAATGATTCCTCTAGAAATACATATGATGAAAAATAACCTGCAATTACTATTGTTTCTCACTTTCAGAGATAAAAATTACAATATAATACTTTAAATGCAATTAAATATCTAGATGTTAAAGCACCAGATCGGAAGAGGTCAATGGATTTTTCTAAGATTAAATTTGAATATATGTTTGGTGTGATATGTGTGAAAATATAAGCTGGATGGTATGCTTAGAATTGAGAGGACCTGCAGTAGAGAAGTGGAAGCCTCAAAGACACATAATTGATTTCCAGATCAGCTTCAACATCACTTTGTAGTCAAGTACCTGGGTAGCCTTATGTATCTTATCTAATATCCCAGAGGTGGCTAATGATTTCCTTAAGTAGCTTTAGCAGGTGAGCAACCTTTTTTATGAAAGAATAAGCACATTATCAGAATCTTATTGACATTCAAGTAATTCTAAAATTTGATTTTTTTATTCAAAAATCTGTTGTAATTTCCAAATTGTATTTATTATGACTATCTATATATGCCAGGAATGATAATTTTCAGTCTTCAAATATATTTGCAATTTAGAAATAAAATATGTCTTCATAATGAATACTAGACACATAGACTTGAAAGTGAAATCATCTGATTGGTCCAGCTTCCCGCTCAAATTTATCTGGTTATTTGTGATCGTAATACTTAATTTTATTTGTATATATAGTCAAGTCTTGATATTAAGTGTACTAACAAAGAGGAATGATGGTAGAATGAATATTTGCAAGTCATATACAACTGACTTTGGAATGGTTGCAATTTTTCCAACAAAATTGTCACGTTTGTCCATCTTGTTTGGTGCCTGATTCATTCATGTGACTTTGTTCTTATGAAACAAATGTGGTAGAGAACTAATTTGACTCATATGAACATTTTTCAGATCTCTCACTGGTTTAACCTAATCTTCCATGCAGAACAAAAGAAACAAAACTATTAAGATATACTTACTGGTGAACTGGTCTTAAGATAAATTAATTATATCCTTGAATTTCCAATTTAGTGTACTATCCAGTATATGCACCCTGATGTGTCAGAATAAGTATGGACTGGTAATTGCAAGGTCAGCAGTTCAGACCCACCAGCCACTGTCAGAAACCTTATACAGCATCTCTATGAGTCAGAATCAACAACAGTCCTTTTGTAGAGCTGTCTGTGGTGGCATAGTGGGCCATGTATTGGGCTACTAACCACAGGGTCAGAAATTTTAATCCACCAGTTGCTCGGCATGGGAAAGATAAGGCTTTCTACTCCCATAAAGATTATAGCCTCAGAAACTCTATGAAGGGTCATTATGAGTCAGAACCAACTCAGCAGCTCACAACAACATTCAATTTATAGGACTCCTAGTGGTGTAGTGGTGAAGCAGTCAGCTGCTTACTGAAAGGTCAGAATTTCAAACACACCATCTGCTCCATAATAGAGATGTAGCAGCCCGCTTCTGTAAAAATTTACTGCCTTGGATACCCTACCATGGGGCAATCCTGCTCTGTCCTATAGGTATGAGTTGGAATCTACTCAGCTGCATTGGGTTTGGGTTTTGTATTTTTTAATCCAGTGTATAACTTAAGAATTACTACAGAATAAATTGTTAAAAGCATGTTCACCTGTCATAATGAACATGATTAAATCACTGAACTCTATAAACTACATCTGAAGATTATTGGATGTTGGATGGCAAATATTTTGTTACCAGTGCAACCCATTGCTGTCAAATTGATTCCTACTCATAGCAACATTACAGTATAGCATAGAATTGCCCCATATGGTTCTCAAAGCTATAAATCGATAGCAAAACAGATTACCAAAACTGGCTCACGTAGAGTGGATGGTGGGTACAAACTGCTGACCCTTTGGTTGACAACCAAGCATTTGAACCACTGTGCCACCAGGGCTCCTTGTTTTGTTACATACTAAAAAGCAAAACCTTGCTGTAGTGTCAATTCTAACTCATAGTGACCCTATTTACCAAAATGAAGAAAACAAAACAAAACTATTAAAATGTATTTTGCCCCTATTTTTTAAAAAGTTGCCCTCAAATCATAAAATCCTTATTAAAAAAAACAAACTCCAAAGATTAGATAATGTATTCATCTAGCTCTGGGCCACTCCATTGTTTACTCTGAGTGTAAGAAACAGCTGACTGAACAGCAGGAGAACAAGCTATTGTAACTGCTTGCTTTTTATAGTGAAGCTGGGAGATATTAGCAAAAAAGTATTAGAATATTCTGCAATTTTTAAATGTTCTCAGTTGAAAATAATTGTAGCTATTAAATGTAGATAAAGTTTCACATTTTAATGAATATTAAAATTATGTATAATTTTGTTAGCCATTTATAAAAGGTTCACAGAATTATTTTGGCTGGAAAGGAAGGATTAAAATGAGATAATTAATGAATTTTTTTTCATAATAAGAATATCTCAACAAAAATCATGTCAGATAAGAATCATATTCTCAGAGATCTCTGCTGACTTAACTATTAATAAATAAATAAAAACCTCTGGCAAAACACTTTAAAATCAAGCACATTTCATTCTTGAGAATAAGTATTCAAAAGATAGTAGAGTAAATGGTTAACAGTATATTCTAGTTCTTCCTAATTAATTTACCTTTCATACTATCTATATATTTATATTAGTCTCATTTGCCTCTTGCTATGGTGTGCTTGGCCCTTTTAAGGCCCCTTAGTAACATTCAAACTTATAAGCTACAGCAGAGACTTTGGTAAGCAAGTCTCGGGTAAAGCTCTGGGATTTATCTCTGATAAACACACTTCCAGGTGAATATAGTGCAGGTTATAATGGGTCTACTCATCGACGGTTCTTTGACTTTAGCACTCTGTTCTACCTGTTCACATTGGTGTACCTGGAGAAGAATGGAAAAAGCAGTGTCTGAAAAATGGCTTAGTGCAAACATTGTGAAAGCACATGCTACATGTGCTTTTGTGTCAGCAGCTAGAAAAAAAGTTGGATTTGTAGCTTGACTCTTTTTTAAGTAGATCTGTCTGTTCATTCCTCAAGATATGGACTGTATATAGGACTATAGTTGTAGTTGTTGTTAATACCATCGAGTTGGTTCCAACTCATAAGTTTGACCTGCCGACTTTGTGGTTCAGGTTGACCTTGCAGTCCAGTGCTTTATCCCATAGTATCTGGCCTAAATTTCAGAAGAATAGTTGTTCAGTTAGCGAAGTATATCATTAGCTTTATTGTGTCTTTATGTTATTTACTAAATAGATTCCAGGGAATAATGTTTATATATATTTGTAGCCCCCAATTCATTATTACTTGGGCTCCATCAGGATTATATGAGGTTAGTTTGTAACTGTATCAGCATGTTTAGCATCCGTTCATTCATCAACTATTGAGTGCTCTTCTTCATGTATTATCAAACTATAAAAGTAATATCATACCACTATAAATAACAAATAGTCAAGTTACATAAAGAATGTCATAAAATCTGGCTATATTAATTTGAAATAGTTAAATTCAGGGTTAAATGACATTTATTTTATGAGATATAACATTGGCAGTCCCTGTTTAAGATAACTATTAGGATTTTGACTTTCACCATGACTATTAACCTAGAAAATACATGAGAGCAATTATAGTAAATGTTAATGTCATTTGAAATCTGATTTTTAATAACTAATAAGTAAGAAATGTTTGTAGTTTACCTTTCTTTATATGCATTAAACCCTAGATACCCTAAGAGATTAAATCATCTTTTAATTTTTATCTTTTTCAGTCTCTGACATTAAGGCTTCAAGACTATCCTTCTTTGTCTCATCTTGTCCTCTATGTACCTTCTATTCATGGAACTAAGGTAATAAATGAATTAATATTGTTACCAGAACATTTGAGAGATATACATGCTTAATTTTTTATTTATTGTATGATGAATTTTTCTGAATAAGGCTTATCTAAAACAATGAACAGTTTAGCAAGCCACATAGTACTGTTAAGTCATTAGGATCTTCTACTCTAACTTGAACTAAGTAAAATAAACCAACTAGTTCCAATTAGGAACTAGTTGCACATTACGTATCTGTCTTTCAAAAGCAATTAATTATCGGTTACACTTTTAAATGGTAGTGTAGTGGTTACGAATCGGACTGCGAACCTCACGGTCAGCAGTTCGAAACTACCAGCTGTTCTGCGGGAGAAAGATGAGGCTTTCTGCTCCCGTAAAGATTTACAGCCTGGGAAATCTGTACAGGGTCGTTATGAGTCACAACCGACTCCACGGCACACAGCCACCACCACCCTTTTAAATGAGGGAGCTTAAAAAGAGGAAAAATTCCATTATCCTTTTATTCTATTTTTTCCGTGAACTTTTTGAGGCAACCGTATATATATATGACTGTGTCAGGAATTATAACAGGAACACACATCAGAAAAACACAAACCCTATTCTCAGAAAGCTGCACACTATTGGACAGTGGTAGAAAAATATATTTGGTAAGAGAAGAGAGTGAAAACGAAAGTTGTTTCCGACTCATAATGACCCTATGCACCATAGAACAAAATACTTTATGGTCCTGTGCACTAGTGTTCCCTTTGCGTTTCAGTCCATTGCTGCTGCCCAGTGGATCCCAATCCATCTCGCTGGATGTCTTCCTCTTTTTCACTAAC